TTGAGGTCAGTGTTACCAAACCATTGAGGTCAGGGTTACCCTAGCATTGAGGTCAAATTTACCCCAGCTCTGAGAGTATCTGTTCATGTCTTCCACATACAGGCAATCTTTGATGTTTGGTAGAGAGCGGTCCAGTGGAGCGAAGCGATAGAATACATTTATGTTACATTCTGTGAGTGTGTTTAGTACCCATTATCTCACATGTTGTTGTGTTAGTATAACGATATGTGTTGTTGGTATGTCATTTTTTATGAGGGAAGAATTATCCTTCTGTTCCTTGCCCCTGGCTTCACAAGCAAGATTAGAGGAACCACCAGCTCGCTTTTGTGGGCTCCTTCGAGGTGGAGAGCCCGGCCCCCTACCTGCGAGGTGTAGAGCCCGGTCCCTACCTGCGAGGTGTAGAGCCCTGTCCCCTACCTGCGGGGTGTAGAGCCCGTCCCCCTACCTGCGAGGTGTAGAGCCCGGCCCCTACCTGCGAGGTGTAGAGCCCTGTCCCCTACCTGCGGGGTGTAGAGCCCGTCCCCTACCTGCGAGTTGGAGAGCCCGGCCCCCTACCTGCGAGGTGGAGAGCCCGGCCCCCTACCTGCGAGGTGGAGAGCCCGGCCCCCTACCTGCGAGGTGGAGAGCCCGGCCCCCTACCTGCGAGGTGGAGAGCCCGGCCCCCTACCTGCGAGGTGGAGAGCCCGGCCCCCTACCTGCGAGGTGGAGAGCCCGGCCCCCTACCTGCGAGGTGGAGAGCCCGGCTCCCTACCTGCGAGGTGGAGAGCCCGGCCCCCTACCTGCGAGGTGGAGAGCCCGGCCCCCTACCTGCGAGGTGGAGAGCCCGGCTCCCTACCTGCGAGGTGGAGAGCCCGGCCCCCTACCTGCTGCTGGATTCCACAGGCAGGACGCCACATCTGTTTGTACTATTGCTTTCCTCCATCCCAATTAAGCAAAGCGTTGAATTATAGCTAGCTGACTACAAAAGCATTATATCTGGCTGTATACAGTTAAATTGAAGCTAGCTGACTACATAAGCATTATATCTGGCTGTATACAGTTAAATTGAAGCTAGCTGACTACATAAGCATTATATCTGGCTGTATACAGTTAAATTGAAGCTAGCTGACTACAAAAGCATTATATCTGGCTGTCTACAGTTAAATTGAAGCTAGCTGACTACGGTAGAATATCACAGCAATAAATCTGCCAGCATCACATATCCACTTACAGTACAACTCTGATGGTCCCACATTACCAATACAAACTGAGGGAGGTTAACACAAGGCGGGTGTGTTGCTTACAGGAGACAGTCCATTGTATTTTTAATTTTAAATAACAATCCATGTTTTTAGCGCAATTTCCATTCTGGAGAATTGCGTTTATTAACTCGTCATTTCTGGGAATGGATGGATGAATGTATGGATGAATGTGTGTCCGGGCTTTAAGTCGTATCTCCTCCTCAACGAAGCAATATCGATGACTAGTTCCAAAAGCAATATTGTTAAGCAAGTTACGAGAATGAGCATTGGCGATAAAAATTCCGGATTTCTTTCATGTATTTCCCGAAAAAGCCAAAAAACCTCGAAAAAAATCAGTTTTTGGCCCATATCTCAGCAACCAGACCACTTAGCGACTTGAAACATGTACCAATCGATTCCTGCCATAATTTAGAACAATATTGCCGAAGAAAGTTTTCAAAAATATCCTCTCGTTCGGTCACAAATTTTAAAATTACATAAACACCTACAAACCGATCGTTCTTCTAGCTTGAACGCACCCCAGCATTATACGTCAGAGCTATTTTTAGATAACATAAGGAAATTGCGCATAAATGTCACTAGACTTTTTTAATTAACTTGTTTTCTTTAACACACATCTTTTATCTTTATGGGAGACAACTTATGCATATTTGTTTTCTTTAATAATCAGCTTTGTCTCCCCTACTATCTAAAATACCTTAAATAATGTATATGTGTTATAAGGTGGGCTCGAGTTCATGTGTCAAATATAAATGACAATATAAGCACGAGAACAAATAATTAAATTTAAACAAAGCTAAATGGAGAATGATAAGCACACGCACAAGGAGTAAATTAAATAGTCGACAAAACTTTGCGCTATCTAGCTTGTAATAAATATTCAGGACACTAGATAAAATACGAATGCCTTTTTTGAGCGGAATAGTGCGTTGTACCGGTCGTTGCAGTAACGTAGCGAGGGGGGGGGGGGGCGGGGGACATATATCCCCGGACGCCGACCTTAGGGGCGCCAAAATGGGTTGGAAAAATCAATTGAAAGGTTGAGGGGGGTGCAAATCGAAAAGCTTGTCCCCCGGCGCCGGGAAGGGTCGCTACGCCTCTGGTTTGTTGTGTGTATTTAATGTCGAGAGACCAGGACAATATATTCTTTTGACAAGCAGGTTCAGAGCAGGACAGTTTACTGCAAGAGCGGCAGTGAGGTATTTGTCTATTTTTTTAGTTTGATAATATGTAAGGTAGACATATTTTCTAGTTCGGAGGAAGTATTGTAATCGTACAAAACGATATATTTTGAAATTCAGACGAATGTTAACGTTTCACAACATTCCGGAACCGGAAAAACAGTTTTGCAATCATTTTTGTCTGTGTGTGTGTGTATTTGAACACGACTACTTGATTAACAGTTAGGTTGACGAAATTTCCTATATAAGTGTTATATTACATTTGTAGCTTTTGATCAACTTTTTCGCGATTTAAAGTAACCCGTTGTGGAGAGCCTTTACTTTGAGTGCCGTTTAAATGAGGTCAATACAAATGTAGGCTATAAATAAGTATTTCATAGTTCGCTCAGGTTTTTGTCAAATTCTGAACGATTTCTGTTAACCAGAAGATGCACTTTACTCACTTTCTGTTTGAACAAAATAACTTTATTGATGTTAATAAGACGAAATTTGGAATTTAACAATAAGATCGTATATTTGGATTACTCTCAAATTTTAGGAGGAAAATGTACTTTATTCCCTGTCTCAAAAATATCCATAACAAAAGTAAGGTTTCATGTAGGTAGGCCTACGGGACATTTTATACACATGAATAAGATTTTATTCTCTAGATTCCTTGCAAATTTTGAATTCCATCCAGTGACCTAAAGTAGCTATTAGTACTCTATCAGATTGCTCAAACAAAAAAAAGACATTAGGATTTTATATAACTATTGATTTGCAATACATTTTTTTCTATGCGACTAAAGCTTATTTGTGTTTAACTTTTGTTAAAGTGAGTGGACCGGTATTTCGCTCAATATCCGATGTCTTAATATCCTTTAGAATTTGATAGTTTCGTGTAACATTCTCGTTCAGTATATTCTAAGCAAATGTCACTTGTACATAGTCCAAAAAAAAACAACTAAGGATATTGTTATAAACCTTATTTTTATATACCGAATGCAGTAGGGAGGGGGCTACCACCCCAACCCATATTGTTGAATAAGAAAAAAATTAAAGGTGATCAGCCTGCTTTAATTATTTAGTTTATATTACCAGTACTGGATGAATTTGTTGCTGTGTTATGTCTTCAACCTGTAGTGTTGTATTTCTAGGAGGCATGTAGAATGGTTGTGTTTGTGAAATTTTCATAAACAGTAATTTAAACTGTGTTAATATTAGTGACCATATCACGGTCCCAGCATGGTGATTAAATAGTTTTTTTCCCGTGATGATGGATATTGAACTTTTTGTAGAGAGGGAGTAAGATTAAGAAAAACAAAGATCTCATGACAAATGATCTCAAGGACAAAAGATCTAGGGACGAAATATCTCATAGCTAATTATGTATAGTATTTAAGATGAGTTTAATTGATTTTAATATTTTAAAATTGAGTGTCATATGGATTTCATTTACTTTTATTGCCCAATATAATTATGAGATATACTTAATGAATTCGTTAAGCTTATAAAAACTATCAAAAGACTAAGTAAAATTAATTTTTAAATATAATTTGATATGAAACGTATCAGACGCGAAAATGTATATTTTCAAATAACTTGATGGAACCCTTAACCACATTAATGTTCAAAGCACGTGAAATAATTTTCTTGGGTGATTCGGCGGATGTCTTCTCCCTTAAGGCCTGTCCGCCGATAAAACAAGTGGCTACCTTGCTGCGTAGTCGTTATTTCAGAGCCCTATCATAATTAGATCATCTAACCCTTTGATCTAGTTGCGTCTACTTAATATCAAGGAAAACAGTCTCATGATCGCCAAACCCAAATAAACAGTCTATCGAAAATTAGTTTTAAACTGCACACATTATTTCTATAATTGCAATTTAAGTATGTTTAATGTGTTGTTAGAAGCCTATGCGACAAAACTCGTCTCACAATCATTACCGTACAACTTAAAAACTTAATATGACAATTAATTTTCATTAATAATGAAATAAACTAAAATCAGCCCAACTGATATAAATATTTTGCAGTGAGAATTTTGTCTGAATGTTTTGTCTGAGATCATTTCTCCTGAAATATTCTCTCTTGATATATTTTATCCTTGAGATCATTTGTGATTGAGATCAATTGTCCTAAGATCATGTGTCCTAAGGTCATTTATCCTTAGATCATCTGACTTTTTTTTTTTTGCAAATGTACGTATTTGTTCTAAACTTTTTAGGTGCAGCATATACCAAGCACGACCCAAGCTCACAATGGTAATATTTTATTTCCATTTTTACCGCTTTAAATAAAATTTCTAAACTTTTTATTAAAACATACTAAAACACAAGTTTTGCTCAGTTCAAATTTGATTAAACATAAAAAGTAAACAGTAAAATAAAAAAAAATAGGCCCTACTTGGAAAATGAAACATAACATAACAAGCCCAACATATATATTTAGTTGAATATTTAGTTGCTCAAGATAATGAGACTGGTACATTAGCTGATCTTATCAGAAACATAGATCAAGTGCATGCCATGTTCAAAGATAGAATTAATTCAATATCAGAATTACTTGAAGCCAATTACAAATTACAAAAGAAGAGAAAATGCACCAGGAACAACAAGAGACATTGAAAAAAATTCTTAACAAGATGCTAAAAGAGCAAAAATTAGAAGAAAAAAAACTTTTCGAAGAAAGAAAAAAAATGGAGAATGAAACTATGAAAAAAGAAATGGAAATTAAAAAACAACTACAAGAAGAAGTGAAGAAACGTAACGAAGTATTAAGAGCAGAAAATGAAAAACATCAATTCGAGATGGAAAGAATACAAAAAGAACGAGACGAGCTAAAGAAAAATAAAGAATTAGGAGAAAAAGAAAGGACGGAAATAGAAAAACAATATCAGAAAAATGAACAGCAACTCAAGAAACAATTTGACAGTAAAATAAATGAAATCAAATTGCAATTTGAGGTGGAAAAAAGCAATGTAGAAAAAATGATACAACTTGAAAAAGAAACCTTAGAGAAAAAATACAAAGAACTGACGGATAAATACAAGAAAGAAAGCAAAAACCTAGAACAACGAATACTAAATACCACTTTAGAGAAAGATAATCTGTGTAAACAGCTGGAAGAAACAAAACAGAAAAACCAACAACTGGAAACGAATTTTCAAAATCAGTGTCTGCGGCATAAAACCGAACTTCGCGATAAGGAATTAGCTTTGACAGAAATGAAGCATAAAAACCAACTGCTTATCAAGAAGCTTGAACTTGCTGAAGTAGCAAATGCCGAGACTTTGGAATCAAAACTAAAAGACCTGGAACAGCGATATGGGAAAATCAAGGCTAATTTACCAAAAGAAGAGAAACAGCGGATTGAAAAGAAAATCAACAAATTACAGATAAGAAACAGTTATTTATATAAAGATTGTTGTATCATATAAATTTTAAAAGTTTTCAGAACATAAATAAAAAAAACAACTTATTTTGTGATAATAAAATGAAAATTGCACGTTCTTATTTATAGTATACAGAGTATAGAGGAACTTAGTATATTTAATCTTGAGAAAAATTGAATTCGAGTCTGAAAAACGAAAAGTTTTGTAATCGTGTTAATCAGTCTGTTTTTTGTGTGACTGTCTCTAAATAGCGATTTCCAGTAAGCGGTAGTGCTTATGTACTCACTTTCTGTGTAAACAATTTTACTTCCAGAAAACAAATTGCATATATTAGTATAAGAACTAAAAAATATACGTAAATTTATATATATTTCTTTTAAAGGTGTCCGATATCTAGAACACGTACGTATTTCCATTGTCTAAAATATCGACAGTTTAAGGACTGTTTAAGTAAGTTTGACTAAACATTAATAAGGACCGTAATTATATTTTTATCAACATTTCAGCAATTCTGACGAAAATAATTTTTACTTTTATTGTAGACAAATTAGAGAAAAAATTTTGTAATCTTGCAAAAAAAAATCGAAATCAAGATTTTCACAAATCTCGACTTTTTACACATCACTGAGTCGGAAAAACTTAGTTGTGCAATTTCGTCCGTGTGTCTATGTGCGTGTCCATTTATGAACACAATAAATTATGTACCGGCACAGGTACGTTGATGAAATTTCATATATAAGTATAATACTAAATTTGTAGTTCTGTAACAATTTTTAAACATTTGCAGTTATCGGAATTGGAACTTATTCTACTTTTGGTTGAGTACTGTTTAAGGTAGATATAACAAAAATTACATACTAGTAAAGGTTCTATTTCTCTGACATCTGTCAAATTTTAAGTAATTTTCAGAGACTGGAAGCAACACTATTATACTCATATTGTTTGCTGTTTAGCCTACATGGTACGCAAATGTTTTTCTAAGAGATTCTATTTTATTTTTAAAAGTTTAAGTAAGTACAAATTGATTAAAGACCATATTTATATACCGAGTTGTCGTCCCTCGTAGTGTTATATAAGAATATATGAGAAAATTTAAGTAACGTCACTCGTGCTTTATTTTTTAGTAAGGTAAATAGAAATGATTATAACGTGAGTAAATAAATTTTCTAACACTTTTAATACTTTTTCTTGATTGCATTATATCTTGCCTAGATCACTGCATAAAAGAGAAATAAATAACACAGATTCTTGTATCGTCGGAGCGGTCGGGTGGAAGGCAATATCCTTTTTATATCAATATCAATTTTAAGGGATGTAGAACAAAAGGCCGACATCCAAAAGGCCGACATGGACAAAAAAGCCGACAGCCGAAAGGCCGACATGACATAAGGCCGACAGGACATTAGGCCGACAGCCAAATGGCAGACATCCAAAAGGCCGACAGACCATTAGGCCGACAAACATAAAAAAATGCATGTATCGCAAAATATGACGGGAGTGTCTAAAACACAAAGGATCAACACTTAAATATTGCGAATTGCGGTCACTACTGTCTTTTATTGCTCCTTCTATGTCAAAGAGGTGAGAAAACCATCAAAGAACCAAGTCAAAAGCCGCCGGCATCATCGCCCACATGCAACAAGGTGGAACGTCAACCGACTATGCTAGTCGCGATCCTTATAAGGTGAACAATGGGGTACATGCGACTTGGGATGACGGTAGTGTACAAAGGATAAACAGATAGGTGGCAAAAAGAATGAAAGAAACCATGACAATTATCTAAATAAGATTTCAAGGACCCATACACATTTGAGAGAAAATAGCACCCTGGAGTCTTTTGTTTGATCTTAAAACTAAAGTAAGAACAAGGAAGAGTGGAAGTATATTGCTTGGTGAGCTGTCAAAAAGCGAATAAAAAACAATATATACAGAACGTGAAAACAGAAATAGACTTGAATTTCTACCCGGCATAGCATACAATTTATAATACTAGGTCCTATTTTTTTCTCTGTTGTGCTATAACTGTATAATTATGTAACTGGTAAATGGCTGTAATTGTAGTTTGTTGTTTTATAAAATTTGTTGGCCTTTTCTCTTGTCGGCCTTATGGATGTCGGCTTTTAAGCACTCGGTCTTTGTCTTGTCGGCCTTTTGTCCAAGTTGGCCATTTGTTCGTGTCGGCCTTTTGTCCATGTTGGCCTTTTGTCCGGATCCCAATTTTAAGAGCCAATAAAATTAGTGTATTGTACCGAATAGATCATTTTTTGTTTACTTGTTACATAACAAGTCCTTATACTTCTTTTTTCTTTAGTTAAGGCCACTAGACCTACTAAGCGAGGTAAAAATTGTACAACGTGAAAACTTGTACTGCGTTGTTACTTTATTCAACCTAACTGATAAAATGAAAAAAAAAGAATATACTATTATCGAAATAATCTGAAGTTCTGAAAACACGACAAAATAAGCCCGCACCTTATACAAACTAAACTCTTAAGAAGTGGTCCTTAACCCCACCTTAGTTTCCTATGCTCATTCAGTGGACCCTTCTCAATAGTTGTATCGTTCACACTGACAGAATGCGATCGTGAGAAGAGTTTGTCTTAACCTCCGCCACAGCCCTAAGACCCACTTAGCGATCCTATTAAGTTCTATTGGACCCAGGTGAAGAACCCCTGCTCTAAACACTTTTGATTTTATTTTTTTACTCGTTTCCGTTTTTAAGGTGCATAGCAGTTGGCAAAACGTCGTCAACTCACTTGAAATTTTTGAAGATCGAACCTTAATAATCCAGCATCCCTCGTCTCTATTTCAGACGATTATCTTCATGCCTTTTTTATCTCGTTCTATTCGTTTTTTTAAATAATGCTTCTTCAAATAGTACACATTTTCTGCAATTGTTATTGACTATGTGCAAGAAAGCACACCCCAGACTTCGGGCTTTTGTTTATCCGTTGGATTCCAGTTTGTTTTCTCTAGATTGTTTTATTGTACAATCAACCAGTCAACGAAACACCGATGTCGTATTCTAATGTGTACAATAAATGTTTCTGAAAATTAGCTATTGTATGTCAATTGTATGACCTTATTCTAACAAACTTATAATCCAACTATGTACCATATCATAACAGAGACTGTTCCAAAGATAGACCATAAAAAGACTGGCCTAAACAAATTAGCGCTTGCTACAAATTTCCCTCTAAACTTAAAAGAGGCAGATTTATTTTTGACATTACTAATCTTTTTTAAAAGGATAACGCATCTTGGGCGGAATTTAATTGGCGTCGGGTAAAGTTTTAGTCATCGAAAATTATACCCTTAACCTGAGACATAGCGAGGGGGGGGGGGAATTTGTATGTCGTTTTATTAGAACTAAGTGTATTGCTTTGCTTTAAAGAGTAATAAATGTGCATTTAAAATTAACTGCTTGTAAATAAGCTAAATGATATAAATACAAATTAATAATGGCATTCAATAACATTGTATTGATTTAACCAAAATGCATTAAACTCAGCAATAAATATAACTTTGCTATTGTATTAAAATTGTGTTGAGACTTCATATGTGCATCCTGCTATTGATAAACCTAAGATGATCCTTGGACGTAATTGTAAATAAATCCCCGAGGTCAGCCATTTACATTTAAACCAAAATTTCAAGTCGAACATTTAAAAACTGAGGCGAGAGCAAGTACGTCTAAAGTCCTAACGGAATGTTGCTTTACCACTAGCACATTGACAATTTTATGAGGTAAGACAACGAATACATTTTATAACTGCACCAGTTATCATAAAGCTAACAGAGGTAGGGACAACATTAAGGTGAACAGATAATAAAACATTTACAATCATTTGAGAAGTTGCGTTGATTGTAAGTTATGTGCAGTTTACAGAGTAGACGTTAAATCTACCAGTGTTCGGACAGTCTACATTGGGCTGTGGGCGTTGTCTTGACTCAATCGTTGCCTAGAGATACTTCTTATGGAAGTCGGCATAGAATCTATTAAGAGAAATCTGCCGCATTTAAATTTTATATTAATCAAAGTGCTCGACACTGGATCTCGTTTTACTGAAAGGTCAATAAAATATAACAACGTTCTACTATATGGTTCTGTTTTCAAACAAGAAAGTGAGCTATACTTTGCAGTGACTTTTTGCATACGTTATGCATTAGATTGTTAGCTTACATGTATCTGAAGGTTGTGAACCAGAAATGTAAATACTTGACGCTCTCTCTAAACACTTCTTGAAATAAGGGCGGCTGTAAACATGGCACGTTTATTGCACTGAGGAGACCAGATATTTTTGTGGGTGGCATCTACATCTATAACGATACCCTGACATTTATTGCCACACTGTACAGACGTTATACATTTAAATATAGCCCCACGACTTGTGATAGTAAGATGGCTGACTTTTGGGAAAACATATTTTACACGGCGTTTTAAATTACAACTTGTCCAGATTCTCAGCTGGTAAAAAAAAAACGTTTGCAAAATTAAACGAGACACGTATTATTGATTACGTGTTCACTAACTTCGTTACTGATGTGTGATCACCTATTTTGTCACACTGTGCGTGGAGTTTTATTTGATGTTGTTGTTCAGGTTACCATAGTTGGCAATTGAGGTACTGGTTGCTTGTTAAGAATAAATGAAGTCAAGTCTTTTATTGTAAGGTTTTAAAACATTAGCTAGGTTTATCTTCTGAATGTAAAAAGGTGATTGAAAATACAATTTTAACCCTAGTACGTTCCCTTTTACAAACAGGAAGTAAAATATTTGGTCAGCTTGACACAGCGCATGGAATCAAAAAGATCCTCCCGTGTAAACAAGATTAAAAGATCCTCCCCTGTAAACATGATTAAAAGGATAAAAATGTCTGGAATCCGACGCAGTCACTGAATTGTACTTAGATCTTATACAGCAGCCGTTGTTTGAATTATATAAAATATCTATTGAATACACGTCTATACTAGCTAAACGTTTTGGTAGCCTGTCTGTCCCCATACCACAACTAGCGTAGTTCTGTTTTTTAACTAACCGTAAT